TGTGACACGGGTAGGTGAACCTGTAAGACCGGCAGACCGTCAGGAGAGCCTGTGACACCGGCAGGTGAACCTGTAAGACCGGCAGACCGTCAGGAGAGCCTGTGACACCGGCAGGAGAACCTGTAAGACCGGCAGATTGACAGGAGAGCCTGTGACACCGGCAGGAGAACCTGTAAGACCGGCAGACCGGCAGGAGAGCCTGTGACACCGGCAGGAGAACCTGTAAGACCGGCAGACCGGCAGGAGAACCTGTAAGACCAGCAGACCGACAGGAGAGCCTGTGACACCGGCAGGAGAACCTGTAAGACCGGCAGATCGGCAGGAGAGCCTGTGACACCGGCAGGTGAACCTGTAAGACTAGCAGACCGAAAGGAGAGCCTGTAAGACCGGCAGACCGACAGGAGAGCCTGTGAGACCAGCAGACCGGCAGGAAAATCTGAGACAAGCATACCGGTAGGAGAACCTGTAAGACCAGCAGACCGACAGGAGAGCCTGTGACACGGGTAGGTGAACCTGTAAGACCGGCAGACCGTCAGGAGAGCCTGTGACACCGGCGGGTGAACCTGTAAGACCGGCAGACCGTCAGGAGAGCCTGTGACACCGGCAGGAGAACCTGTAAGACCGACAGACCTACAGGAGAGCCTGTGACACCGGCAGGAGAACCTGTAAGACCGGCAGACCGACAGGAGAGCCTGTGACACCGGCAGGAGAACCTGTAAGACCGACAGACCTACAGGAGAGCCTGTGACACCGGCAGAAGAACTTTTAAGACCGGCAGACCAGCAATAGAGCCCGTGACACCGGCAGGAGAACCTGTAAGACCGGCAGACAGGGAGCAGAGCCTGTGACGCCGGCAGGAGAACCTGTGAAACCAGCAGACCAACAGGAGAGCCTGTGACACCGGCAGCAGAATCTGTAAGGCCGGCAGGAGAATCTGTGACACCGGCAGGAAAACCTGTGAGACCAGCAGACCGGCAGGAGAGCACGTGACACCGACAGGAGAACCTGTAAGTCCGGCAAACCGGCAGGAGAGCCTGTGACACCGGCAGACCGTCAGGAGAGCCTGTGACACCGACAGGAGAACCTGTGAGACCAGCAGACCGGTAGGAAAAGCTATGAGACCGGCAAGAGAACCCATGAGACCGGAAGGGGAACCGATGAGACCGACAGGAGAACCTGTGAGATTGGCAGGAGAACCTGTGAGACCAGCAGGAGAACCTGTGACACCGGCAAGAGAACATGTGACACCGGCAGGAGAACCTGTAAGACCGGCAGATCGGCAGGAGAGCCCGTGACACCGGCAGGAGAACCTGTAAGACCGGCAGACCGACAGGAGAACGTATGAGACCGACAGGAGAACTTTTAAGACCGGCAGACCGGCAGGAGAGCCCGTGACACCGGTAGGAGAACCTGTAAGACCGGCAGACCGGAGGCTGAGCCTGTGCCGCCGGCAGGAGAACCTGTGAAACCAGCAGACCGACAGGAGAGCCCGTGACACTGGCAGGAGGACCTGTAAGATCGGCAGGAGAGCTTGTGACACCGGCAGGAAAATCTGTAAGACCGGCAGACCGGAAGGAGAACCTGTAAGACCGGCAGACCGACAGGAGAGCCCGTGACACCGGCAGGAGAACCTGTAAGACCGGTAGACCGACAGGAGAAAGTATGAGACCGACAGGAGAACTTTTAGGACCGGCAGATCGGCAGGAGAGCCTGTGACACCGGCAGGTGAACCTGTAAGAGCAGCAGACCGGCAGGAGAGCCTGTGACACCTGCAGACCGAAAGGAGAGCCTGTAAGACCGGCAGACCGACAGGAGAGCCTGTGAGACCAGCAGACCGGCAGGAAAATCTGAGACCAGCATACCGGTAGGAGAACCTGTAAGACCAGCAGACCGACAGGAGAGCCTGTGACACGGGTAGGTGAACCTGTAAGACCGGCAGACCGGCAGGAGAGCCTGTGACACCTGCAGACCGAAAGGAGAGCCTGTGACACCGGCAGGAGAACCTGGAGAGCCCGGACACCGGCAGGAGAACCTGTAAGACCGGCAGACCGACAGGAGAGCCTGTGACACCGGCAGGAGAACCTGTAAGACCAGCACACCGGCAGGAGAGCCTGGGAAACCAGCAGGAGAACCCGTGACACCGGCAGGAGAACATGTGACACCGGCAGGAGAACCTGTAAGACCGGCAGACCGGCAGGAGAGCCCGTGACACCGTTAGGAGAACCTGTAAGACCAGCAGACCGGGGGCTGAGCCTGTGGCACCGGCAGGAGAACCTGTGAAACCAGCAGACCGACAGGAGAGCCCGTGACACCGGCAGGAGAACCTGTAAGATCGGCAGGAGAGCTTGTGACACCGGCAGGAGAACCTGTAAGACCGGCAGATCGGCAGGAGAGCCTGTGACACCGGCAGACCGACAGGAGAGCCTGTGACACCGGCAGGAGAACCTGTGAGACCAGCAGACCGGCAGGAGAGCCTGTGACACCGGCAGGTGAACCTGTGAGACCAGCAGACCGGTAGGAAAACCCATGAGACCGGCAGGAGAACCTGTGAGACTGACAGGAGAGACCGGCAGGAGAACCTGTGAGACTGACAGGAGAACCTGTGAGATTGGCAGGAGAACCCGTGGGACCGGCAGGAGAACATGTGAGACCGACAGGAGAACCTGTGAGATTGGCAGGAGAACCTATGAGACCTGTTGTTTCAGCAAACGTGATATAACTCTTGTGACGTTCAAGGCAGCGTTAAGCAGTTGATGAACAGTAGAGCTTTACAGTAAATTGGATAATTTCTTCCCTTTCTTCACTGCTACTATAAGCCATATTGAAGAGCTGTACTGTCACCGGTCTGTATTATCAAGAACATAAAAAGTCCCACTTAATATCGCTATTATATTATAGTTATTTTTTTTATTACCACTTCGGTCCATGTCTTCAGCCCACTTAACACAAATGCACTTGCAATCTTCAAAGACGAGACAGGATGGCGTACAGGGATAATTTCTTCTCAACTCTCCAAAACTATTCATAATAAGGTTGTATATTTTTAATAAGCTGAAAACGCCAGTCAAAGAACGGGTCAATACCTACTTCATTATGTGTTGTATCGCTGTGTCTCCGAGCTTGTTATGTTCTCTCATTTCATGAGGTAGTCATATAGGTGTTCACATGATACAGATGAATTCTAGATGAACATATTCCCTGAACACTTCATGCTCATAAACTTCTGATACAAGTGGGATTTATCTTCGTTAGATAGTTAAACAGTGTAGTGGTTTGATTTGAAATGGTCATTGGCATCTTTGTCTAGTTTCTGCACAGGAAACAAACGGCTTTAAAAGCTGACCTGTCAAGGCTGTTATAACTCAAAGCGTCAACTCAGCAGAGTAGTCCGTCTCAACTATCTGCCGATACTCAAATATCAGGCGCAAACACAAATTAGACAAGAAAAGTAAAATATGGATTATTGAACATGGGTGATGACACCAGGTGTCTCTTTAAGCGTGGGGGGTGGGGTGGTCTAGTGGTTAAGGCGTTCGCTCGTCATGCCGAAGGCCCGGGATCGATTTCCCACATTGGTACAATGTGTAAAACCAATTTCTGGTGTCCCCCGCCGTGATAGTGCTGGAGCGGCGTAAAACCATACTCACTCACTCCTTAAACGTACGCATGTCATGGTCTACGGGTGAACCCGTCACTCTCGTAATATTTATTATTTAAGGAAGGGCAGTTTGTTTTCTGAGTGAACAATATTCTAGCCACATGTGACAGTCTGTGAACAACGGAGCCTGAGCAATCCAGGGGTTGATAGTATGAACATCGACCTAACAAGTCTGACCGCCCGATGCATGAACGCAAATACAAGCGGTAATGGTTGTGAAAGTTCTTTTGTATTTGCAAAACACTCTAAATATTAAGAGACCACCCCGTGGTGCGGTAGATAGAGCATCTGAGAGCACAACTTCGGTGGTTGGATCCCCGGCCACGTCGTATTTAAGGAAGTTTACTGAAGACCGAACGTGTTACACTCAGCATTAAGGGGACTAAACAATGGCAGTTTTGTTGGGAGTCAGTACACAGTGTCAATGCTAGGTACCCATGGTAAACTGCGGCGTTGTATCTGATTGGGATGACATTTAAGACCGGGATTGGGCATAACTAGTACAAGCAATCGCGTACCTCATATACCCTCAGCGCACCCAAAATATTGATCACATCTTATACCCTTACACCTGTCAAAGTAATACTGGTAATGCACCTACAATACGTGGTCGACGAAGACGTGAATGTTGTTTATCGCTGCAGTTAGCAGTATTCCAAGTTACCAAGTGACAAAATACAGAACCCAGTCTTGACTATCCTCTGAAACAAAAGGTTCGTTAACAACATATTTTTCCTGAAACATTGGTTCTGAATGTTGGTAAAACAAAGTGACATGGCAACTCCTTCAAATACAACGTTGACGACAGAGAATAATCAGTCTCGATTATCTTCCAAGACAGATTCCGCGGAGAGTAAAGGCCGAATGCTGCTTCTGTTGTAATAAGAGATTGATGGATGTCAAACAAAACATTATAATCTTTGATTTAAATTCCAGATTACCGGATCCTTGCGCTCCTAAGGGAAGTAACACTGCACATTCAGTTTTAGTGCCTAAGACGATCGCGTTCCACCTATCGACAAGGTTATACGAGAAATATAGAAAGTGTATCTCAACATCTTTACATAAATCAAGCAGAATCAGGTCGAATAATAGCTACAAAAGTATTTCCATGGTCACAAGAAAATCTCTCGTAAACGTATCGTAATCCTTTGTTTATGAATCGCAATCGAATTTCAAGAAATAGGATATTCAGCGAAGAGCAGTTCAGAACACAAACCCGCAAAGTGTTTTTCTCTCTGCAATAATGTAACAATAAGATTTTCTTTGGGTATGTAAAGATGATTCAGGTTTCAGATCAGCAGTAGCTAAAGGTAAATGAACACATCTGTAGGAAACTTACCTTGGCAAATGAACATGAAACATAATGTTCTGAGAAGCTGGCTTGATACTGTATCCATGGTTCCTGAAGCTATATAAAGCAGTGTCAAATCCTGATAATTTACATCTGTTTCTGGGAAATGTCCTGAAAGGTTTCAAATGAGGAAACTTCCACTAAGTCCAGGTACTGTTGACCCGTGTCCAGACATAGCCTGGCCACTCCTATCGACGACCAAACAGTGATGACAAATCAGCTGATGAGCTATCCAAACGGTCCCGCTTGCCTACCGCCATAAATACAGCCGGAGTTGAGGGCACATTTATACCTGTCCTAAACTGGAGAAAACAACACGGAAACGAGGCTGTGACGTCACTTTGGCATGACCATAAATATCACTATCCACCAGACGCCCGAACAGCAAACAAACGTCTGAGGTATACACAGCCATCTGACAATGTACAGGCTGGCGTTCTCCGGCTTAGCCGCAGCGCTGGCACCAATAACCACGCCGTTGAGAGTCTACACAGCCCCTCAGGTGGCCTATCATCACAAGAGACAATATCCCACTCTACCGCGGCCCTGACAGTCCCGTGACAGCTTAATGGTACCATGTTTAGAGAGCTATTTATATGAAATTAGCGCTACGTTTTACTTTTGTTTCTTAAGTTATAAATGTCATTTCTGAACAAACTCCCTGCAACAACTCGACCTTTCTCGTCTGTCCCCTGGTTGTGTAATGTCATTCATGGATGAATATGTGTCTGGTTTGAAAGACAAATGGCATGTATATCAAAGTATCGACTAGTATGTAATTGCTGGTCAAGGCCGTGATGGTGGATGATTTGATGGACGAAAGGGATACTCAAGCTGACATGATAGGCTATCATACATCGTGTTTGTGTAGAGGCCATATTGATCCGACACGTACAAGTTAGAGTTCTGTCAATGTTCAGTTCATATGATGCATATGTTCGTGGAAAACAAACCCACGAATCCCTCCTTTGTTTGGTTTGTTAGCAAGCGTTGCTGTAATCACAGAGATTGGTCAATATAGGGGCAGTTTCTGTCTGGACACGAGCTGATTCGGGCGTTATGTTATTTGATCGTTTTGTATGAATGAGTTTGTGACAGTGGTGGCGTGTGGGTATGTGATGGAAGTTGTGTGCTGGCGATTAGGTGCCTGGCTCTGACGGTGTGGGTTCGAATCACCCGGATGGGACTCAAGCTAATAAAAAGTACTAGAATCTGAACTTTACTGAGAAAGTGTAATCCCAAATATAGCATGTGTTACATACTGCGTCTATATTTACATCCAGGCCAATGGTTGTATGGCAGTAAAGCGTTTTGGGATAGACAAGTGTGAGTGAGTGATGTAGAGAAACTATGACCTGTATTGATGAGTGTGATAATGTCCATAGTCCTGTGTCAGTTGGTCCTCGCTGAATAGAGTGTCTGTGTTTAGTATATTTTCAATTTGGGTGTCTGATGTATATGAAATGTCATGTCAGAAAGCTGAACCAACCATCACTTAACACATGCATTTTCACAGTCACCCAAGGTAAGCTTTATCCCAATGCCAATTAGTTCGCATAGAAACCACACAACAAGCAATTTAGCGACAACTAAGCGTCAATTGACACATTATACGCAAGGAAAAAATGAAAGAGAAAAAATCAACATCAGTTTTATTGAGAAATGTTAGGATAGTGTTTAATGCCGGCCTGTGTTCGCTAGCCTCCATGTTGACATCTGATTCTTCACACGATCGACCAACCTCTCTTTCCCTGCTACTGTCGACGCTGTATTCACTGGGCTAATATTGATATGGACGAATATGTACGAGGTCTTTGAGCCAACTTTGAACTTTTTCTGTCTGATGATGAATGCTTGTAATGTTCCACAAACTACAAACTACTTTCGTCTGAAAGTGAGGTCACCACTATGACGTCAGGTCACGTGATGACAAGGCAGATCATTATATCTCGGTAGTTTCCGGAATACGGGCAGGTTTTCTGTTATCACTTCAATCTAATGTTTAGTTACTTTTGGTGAAGAATTGTACGTTTTAAGTCTGTGTTCGCATTTGAACACGGATAACAATTTGTCCATATCAAACTTCCTGCGACGTTGATGACTGTGACATTACATGTTTCTTTAGTTCTGGTGTACTGGACGATATGTCTGTATAGTCTGATCAGTTGCCTATATGAAGACCGCCTCCGTGGTGTAGTGGTTAGAGCGTCCGCCCGGAGTGCGGAAGGTCGTGGGTTCGATCCCCGACCGCGTCATACCAAAACAAGTTAAAATATGGTACTTGTTGGTCCCTGCCTGACGCTCGGCATGAATGGGTACAACAAGGACTGGTCGGCTCGGAGTCAGTATAATGTGTCTGAGTGGGGTATTCATGCTTCACTGCGGCATGGTATCTCAGTGGGTTAGCACTATAAAACCAGTTTCAGTCTGGGCTAGTACAAGCAGCCCCGCATACACATACACACGCATGCAGGTCGTCATATGAGCGAAATATTCTCAAGCACGACGTTAAACCCAATTCCACCACCACCACCACCTATATGGACAATGTGATAAATATGTTCATAAACGTAAAAAATAGTCTGCGCAAATTGGTGTCTGTTAAACAGGTTTCCGATTGAGATATATTGTATGTTGTCACCATCTATCAGGCTTATCTCTGATCCTGTAACGTATATAGAAGCGTCAAAACCCTTTCCATATCCAAAGGAAATCTCTGCTGAAAGCAAAGTGACAATATCATGAGTATATATTTGTTTCAGCAGCATTACAGCTGTATGATGTTGTTTGTAAACAAATCGAGTCTGGAGTCGAGTTCTCGAAAAGGTGAGCGTATCCTGCCCCACCGGTGTCAAACGTCATAAACATATTCGACGTCTAGTCATTTGTTCACCTAAAATAATTCGGGACAAGTCAAAATAGGGAATTGCATCGAACATAATTTTTGTCACTGATGCAAGAAATTGCATTGCAATATGTTGTGAGAGGTTGTCACACTGTTTGATTTTGAGAATAGCGATCCTTGGCACATAATAACCTCTGTGTTCAAACAGGAAGGATTTAGATGTCACATTTGCTAAAAATGACAGGAAGGTATTGACTGACGTTTCACAAAACGTGGCAAACACCAAGCCCACTCCTCATCCTTCCTTATCATAAATCTGATACTATGATACTATGAGGACTTAGGGGTTTTTCTCACAGCAAATGTTTGTCATCAAATAAGGTAGCCCAACGGTTATTAATAGCTCAATGAGAGGGCACTCGGTTTCCATTCTGGGCACCCTGGCCAGTATACAACGTGGGTGATAAGTACTGCACTATGTGTGTGTTTGATCCAAGAGCTATATGTACACTGTAGATAGTGAAGTTAATGTAAAAGTTTCCCATTATTTAGCAGTGACGTGTAACATGTTTGTCATTGTCTACAATGTGTCCAACGTGGCAATGTATCCTTTAAAGAAGTAATGTCTTGCATGCTAATGAAATGCACCTTTTTACCAAACAGACTACTGAGACTCGTCTTTTGCATTAATATTAGAAGACAAGTGAAATAAAGAAACCACACATCTTCCTTGACAGCTCCGTGCTCTTACAGCTGTTCAGTGTCAGGATCAGTGGACACAAGTCACAGTCTGTTTTGTGATAGTACGTCTCTGCAGCCCCATGTCAGATATATTTAATGAGATCTGATGTTAATGTTCTTTCCATTAGGGAGATTGAAGCAATGAATCCATACATATCTGTTTTCAGGAATCACTCTTTTTGTGTGTTGCTTCACGGATACATATTCTTGGATTACAAAATACAATACAAAACAACTCACAACCGTCAAAATTCTTTCAGAAACTGTTGGTGCCATTTGTGATAACAGGCGCCGCCATCTAACCCAACTCTCATCCAGGATCAAGATGGCGGACATTCAACATCGGAACTTACTTCATTCAATATCAGACCGGATGTGCCGCCACATCAGGCCGCCATCTTGGAGATCACCCACGGTGACCGGGCCGCCATTCCTCGTGTTCCGGTGCTTCCGGTTCCGGTGGGTGCGCACGCATCGCGATGACGTCACGACCGGTTCCGGTGGGTGCGCGCGCATGACGATGACGTCACCTCCGGGCCAAGATGGCGGACGCGTTTCAAGATGGCGACCCATCCGGTGGGATCGCGTGAGATCTCGCGGGATCTCGTGGATTCTCGCGGGATCTCGCGAGCGTAGACGCCTTTCAAGATGGCGGAACGGACGAGCGGCGGACGGGACGGGACGGAGAGGGAAGGGAAGGGAAGGAGAGGAAAGGAGAGGGAAGGAGGGAGAGAGGGGGTGAGGCGGACACGATGGCGTGGCTAGACAAGTGTTAGTGTGTGTGTGTGGTTAAAACAACATTGGATGTAGCATTCTTTCGAGCCAGGTGGGTGGCCCTGAAAAGGGCCGTTGGTATGTGAATCAGTCAGCCAGGTTAGCATTCACAAAGGAGCTGGAGACCCCGAAAAATAAATTTTCCGGGGCACACATCATCGTGTTGTTGCTGCCCTCTCTTGATGATGCCTTCCCCACAGTAGAGGCATATGTAGAAGGCAGCTCCTGGCACGACATCAAAGCGATTTGAAGGATACGCTTTAAAACAGGTAGGGCAGATAATGAGTCGCCATTGGGATGACCATTTTGGTAATGTTGTTGTTGTTGTTGTTGGTGGTGGTGGTGGCGCTACCGTGTCTCCTGTCGTAGGTGGTGGTGGTGGCGCTACCTTGTCTCCTGTCGTAGGTGGTGGTGGTGGTGAGGCTGCCGTTGTTTCTGTCTCTTTCCTTTTGATGTCAGCCTTCCCTTGTAAGGTAGGGCTGCATCGTAAGCATTGCCGTCTACCACAATTTTTCCTGTATGGCGTCGGTCGCATGACTTCTACTTTTCTTGTATTCATGTTGCATGAAGATAGCTCTCACTGACCCATGCTGGAGTTTATATATGGGCGACCAGACAGCGATGACGTGTCGTCGATGACGTGGTATCGATGACGTGGTATCGATGACGTCATGGTCGCGCGTGAGGGTAGTGACGTGGTATCGATGACGTCATGGTCGCGCGTGAGGGTAATGACGTGGCACCGCTGACGTCATGATCGTGAGCTCTCACTATATAGGATGAGCGGGATGACCGAAGCAGTGTTACAACCAGCAATCATGTCTGAAAACTGGGAGTTAGAACTGATACCCTTGGAGACAGCATCGCCACCCCTCTTGCCGGCATGGCAGTGTCAACAATGTCATGGCTGCCTCCCTGT